AAAAAAAATCACACAATGTTATATCATTGATAAATATTTCCAAATAGATGATATATTATCAATAATTCATGTATTAAATAAACTGAAAAAAAGAGATTTGAAAAGTTTTGTTTGATTTAGATTAATTAGAAATTAATTATGGTGCAATACAAGCATATGCACATAGGTATGCTTATTTTGTAAATTTTGCAAAATATATGTTAATTAAATGGTGACATTTTTTCGGCTATAAATAATTTTTTACTTGCAATAAAAGTAATTTAATAATTCAACAATTTGTATTTTGGCAATGAAATTAATGCAATAACAATACCAAATAATTTCAGGTCCCTTTTTTTTTATTTGTTCTGATTATTTACGTTACAACCAATGATTATTCTAACAAATGATACTTTACTAAATTACATTTTAATTATTATTATAAAATTCATCGTCTTTTATGGTTATAATATTATTTCTTTAAATATGGTACCAAAAATTTTTACTTCTATGAATTATAGCAATATTTTACCTCTATCAATAAATATAACAATATTTTACCCGTATTAACAAATAAGCCAATATTTACCTCAATCAATAAAAAAATTTTACTTCTATCAATAAATAAACCAATATTTTACCTCCATCAATAAATATAATAAAATTTTACCTGTATCAATAAATGTAATAAGACGAGTAGAATCATTGTTAATTTGATCAGCATTGTAAATATTGATCAACAAATACCGTTACACCATTTATTATAATTGTTCATCCTATTTGCACTAACAATAAAACAAGTTAAAGTAATGAAAATAGAATGTTAGTTTAATATAATTTAATGAAATAGTTAGAAAAATTAAAATAAAGTTTAAAAAAAATCGGTTTGATTACGGTAAAAAATTATTGATAGCAATAGTATGTATTTTTTCAAATTTCTCAGATAATTATTTCTATTTATAGCACATTATTTAATGTTAAATTAATCACGATAATAACATTGATAAATGATATTACAAACAATGATATTACCGTTATTGATATCATTGATAATAATGATAATATCGAGATGATCGAAGTTGTTCATGTGTCTTGTTTCTCATTTTCTTTTTTTTTTGATAAATTGTTGTACATCAATTTTTGATCGAATCGATTGATTTTATTTTCATATGTAATGATAGTAATATCGTTCTGTAATTCGATATATACTACAAAATTTTAACTGAATTTTTTCACTTGAAAAATCAAGAATGCAATCGATTGATATGTGATTTCAAACAATTGTTCTATTTTTTGCAGGTTTAATTATAAAAAACCAAATTTTGATCCGCAGTACTACAATATGTTTTTGAAATTTTAAATTATAAATACTTATTAATTGAAATAATGAAATGATCTATTTAGACTCAATTGTAAATCAGGTAGATGGTAGTGAAAATATGCAGAAAATTATTTGTTATTTGAAATTATTAAATAGGAAAGATAATTAAATTCAAAATTTGAATTGGAAAGCGATCACTTGGAAAAATTCTCATTGTATTATTGTTATTACTTACTTAGTAGAATTAAAGTACGATGACAGAAAGTTTGCTGTGAAATACTTTGCTATCTTAAATTTTACTTAATGCTAAAAACATAGCATTCAAAAAGATAGAAAAGTAGCTAAATATTCATCTCATATACTATGACAAGCATAGCTTATAGCAAACTATAGCTATCAGTGATAACATTATGATAGCATCGTCGAATTCAAATTAACAATAATACTATGAGTACTTACTAGTAGCGAAAGATTAAATTCATCATGAAATCATACTGTCACTTATTATCAATGTAAGGTAAAATTTGCCGTGTAATTGAAAATTTCGAATTAAAAAATTAGAAGATATAGAAATCCATCATTATATTATTCTAAAAACCGTTACTTTTTCTGATAAAATATTTGTCACCATTAGTTGACAAAATTAGTTTTCAAATTGAGAGGAGGAAAAATTAGCAAAGGTAAAAGTGAAAAAGTAAAGAGTGAATTTCGCGGGATCATTTTTTTCCTGGAAAATTATCGCGGAGAATTTCTTAAAAATAATTTTTGGCTATTTTTTTCTATCCATATTTTTCGCTCATAGATTCGTCAATTGAAATGTTTAAAAGTGATCGAAAATTTTTTTCACATTTGTATTTAGCATTCTTTATAATCATGATTGTAGCAATAATTGTGATAGTTAAAGTCAATCATGATACAAGATAATCATATGAACAGTGAATATATATTAGAAATGATAAATGATAATAGCAGTGATAAATCTGTTACAAATCATCAAATAACTAATAAAAGGTAAAAGTTCATTTATCATATCATATTAAATTGACCTTTCGTTCAAACCATAAAATTATTAAGTCTGAAACAAATCAAAATTTTTTTTCAAGAAAAACAAAACAAAGCAAAATTTTTGCTTATTTTAGCATATTTAAATTAATTACAATAATTTCAATGGAGGGAACAGAAAAAAAAGGATGAAATGAAAATTTTTTTAAAAGAAAAATGTCAAAAGAATGAAATTGACAAAAAAAAAAATTCAAATTTTCTTTTCCTTTTATTACTAAATTCTTAAATTTAATCTTTTATTTTTATTGAATTATAAAATGATATGACAAAAATTTTTTTTTAGCTACCAAAATTACTTTATAATTACATAATGTTTTTTTTTTTGCAGAAAAAAAAATGAATTATTATAATGTTAAGATAGAAATGAAGAAAAGGAATGCCATCTAAACATACTTTATATATTTAAATTTATGCACAATTTAAATAGTTACCGCCCTTTTATTACTTCATTTCATCCAATTTTCAAGTACAATTTAAATGCATTTCATTGAAAAATTCAATTAAAAATGATCAAAATTCATTTCAATCTTCGAAATGTAATTGATTGTTGATAATACTGTAATAATGTTGTGCTTAATTTTGCTCACTTAACATAATTGCGCAAATGGTTATATGTTTAAATTCATCAGCAAATATTTCCCATAAGAATTTCA